CATGATCAACATATCGTCTACATATAGACATACAATCACAAATGTATTTGATGTACTCTTGACATAAACACATTTATCACATTCGTTGATTTTGAAATCATTTGTCAACATCACGTCATCAAATTTCAAATGCCATTGTTTCGGAGCTTGTTTCAGTTCGTACAAGGATTTGATCAATCTACACACCTTTCTCTCTTGTCCAGGTGCAACAAACCCTTCAGGTTGTTCCATGTATATTTCTTCTTCCAATTCACCATTCAAAAATGCCGTCTTGACATCCATTTGGTGAATCTCAAGATTGTGCAAAGCAGCAATCGAGAGAAGCACTCTTATCGACGCTAAACGCGTAACAGGTGAATAGGTATCAAAGAAATCATACCCTTCCTTTTGTTTAAAGCCTTTGACTACCAAACGTGCTTTAAACTTATCAATCGATCCATCAGTTTTATATTTTTTCTTTAGGATCCACTTGCATCCTAAAGGTTTACAACCATCAGGGAGATCAACCAACTCCCAAGTATGATTTTGCGTAATGGACTCAATTTCGCTATTTACAGCTTCTTCCCAGAGTGGTCCATCTGGGCTGGACAGAGCTTCCTTAAGGGAACTCGGTTCATCGTCCAACATGTACGTAATAAAATCAGGTCCAAACGTTTTAGCCGTTTTTACCCTTTTACTACGTCTCGGTTCTTCATTAGTACCCTCTGGTACAGAACCACTAACAGTTTCATACGTTCTTTTATTAGAACTAGATTCTGCCCTTTCCTTCATAGGAAAAACATTCTCAAAGAATATAGCATTCCTTGACTCAATCGTGGTACCAACAGATACCTCTGGATTTTCTGATTTATGAACCAGAAATCTATATGTTGTACTATTGTACGCATATCCAATAAATACACAATCGACCGTCTTTGGCCCAATTCTCATTTGTTTTGGTTCAGGTACTGAAACCTTAGCCAAACACCCCTACACTTTCAGGTATTTATCAGACGGCTTACGATTTTTCCACATTTCGTAAGGAGTCTCATCTTTCCCTTTAGGTGGTATTTTATTCAGGATATGATTTGCTGTCAAAACAGCTTCCCCCCACATGTTCTGTGGTAATCCTGAATTAATCAACATGGCATTCATCGTTTCTTTTAACGTACGGTTCTTGCATTCAGCAACACCGTTCGACTGTGGAGAATAAGGGGTCGTCGTTTGATGAATTATGTCATATTCAGAACATATTTGTTCAAAAGGAGCTACATACTCTCCACCCCTATCACTTCGGATTATTTCAATCCTTTTGCCGAGTTGATTTTCAACTTCGGTCTTATATATCTTAAACGCTTCCACAGCCTCATCTTTGCTTCTTAACAAATATAAGTAGCAAAACCTTGTGAAATCATCGATAAAAGTTACAAAATACTTTTTACCGGTTCTTGTTTGCACACTTTTCATATCACATACATCAGTATGGATCAAGCCTAATGGTTCAGTACTCCTTTCCACCGAGTGAAAAGGCAACTTAGCCATTTTTGCTTCAATACAAATTTCACATTTTGTATTTTTATCAACTTTAGAATTAGAAATTAATTCTAATTTCATCAACCGTTTTATCGCATTTAGATTTACATGTCCCAATCTAATATGCCATACATCATAGCACTCAACGGTATAAACAGAAATAGGCTTTTTATTATCAACGGTTACACGGTTTACAGCCATTACATTCATTTTGAACAATCCCTTGTCGAGATAACCAAGACCAAGGAATTTTCCATATTTGCTAAGAATAAACTTCTTAGCTTCAAACACCAGCCTAAATCCATGCTCAACAAGAAGTGATCCGGAGACCAAATTCTTGCGGATGTCTGGGACATGCAGAACATCCTTCAGCTTTAACTCCCTTCCAGAAGTGAGCTTCAGCACCACCGTGCCCACTCCAGCCACATCAGACGTGGAGGAGTTTCCCATGTGAAGTTTCCGACCCGTAGCAGGAGTGTATTCAGAGAACACCTCCTTGTCGGAACACACATGACGAGTGGCACCAGTATCGATGTACCACTCCCTCGGGTTATCCACCAAATTGACTTCAAACACCACTGTCGACATATCAAAGTCGGTCAATTCACCCGGCACAGGGTCGTGTTCAGCAACAAGGGCACTTGGTTGCCTTTTATTTGGCCCAGCTTTCTTTGGCCTCTTGCAGTCTTTCGCCATATGGTTTGGCTTTCCACAGTTGTAACAAGATCCAGTGAATTTCCAAACCTTGGCGGGCTGCTTCCCTTTGTTAAGGGTCTTCCTTTTGCTCGAATTTCCTTGCTCCAACAAGTTCGCACGAGCCTCCATTATCGGGCTTTTGCCCGACGAATTACGGTTGTCCTCCTCAATACGAAGACGAACAACCAGGTCTTCAAGACTCATCTCCTTTCTCTTGTGTTTGAGATAGTTCTTGAAGTCCTTCCAGCCCGGCGGCAGCTTCTCGATCACAGCCGCTACTTGGAATGACTCACTCAAAGTCATCCCTTCAGAATGGATATCGTGCAAGATCAGCTGGAACTCTTGCACTTGTGACACGATGGTCTTCGTTTCAACCATCTTGAAGTCAAGAAATTTGCCGACGACGAATTTCTTCGCCCCGGCATCCTCCGTCTTGTACTTCTTCTCCAGGGCATCCCAAAGCTCCTTGGCAGAACCAACAGAGCTGTACATGTTGTACAACTCGTTACTAAGCCCGTTCAGGACATAATTACGGCAAAGGTAGTCACCTTGCCCCCAAGCATCGTACGCAGCGCGTAGTTCTGCATTGGTCTCATTCTCAGAAATGACCGGAGGGTCGTCCTTCAAGTATTTCACCAAACCCAAAGTGGTCTGGTAAAAATGCATCTTTTGTTGCCACCTCATAAAGTCAAGCCCGTTGAATTTTTCGGGCTTTTCAGCTGTAGGAACATGGACAGCAGGTACATGATTGATCGGATGCTGAGAGTTGGAACCTGCTCCGGTGGATGCCATCAGTTCAGTAGGATGACTGATATTCTTCTTGCGATTGTTGGATATTTCGGTGTGAAAATTACACTGGAATCCTACGAACTGATATGTAATTTTCAGTTCTTACAAATAATCTAAAAATAGAAAATTACAATAGATCTGAAAAATAAATTACAACTGAAAAACGGAAAGATTTTAGCCGAGGCGAGTAAAACTCTTTCCGCAAGAAGAATACGTCCCGTGTGTCAGCTAACGGTTCAGGCGTAACTTCCCCAAAGATACAACGACAAACGTCTCTAAATCTGTAGCACACCAGATTTACGAGCTCCGGCGAACGGGAACGGAGTCGAGAATTGAGCACTTAAAAATAAAAGAAATATCTTAAACACATAAAAATATCACTTGTTTTTCTCTTTTGATATTTTTATATCCGATATTTGGACATAAATCTATCTTTTCTTTCCTTTCTCTTTTCCTTTCTTTCCTTTCTTTTCCTCTATTTGGTCCGTCCTTTTCCTTCTGAATGAATGCCTATTTATAGGCTGATAACATGCATCAAATTGAAATAATAAATATTAAATACAATTTTTTTTTTTTTAATAAATCAATTGGGGCGGTTAGATCCACCGCCCCTTTATTAAAATTTGCAATTGGGACATATGATTGGGGTGTAGTTGTAAATGGTTGGACTAACCATTAATAATTACCAATTTGTTCAATTAAAAACAAAAGAACCAATACATAATAATTAGTTCAATTATTAATACTAAATTTTCTAACAGAGGTTAACAAGGTACAAATAGATCTATTAAACGAAACGAGTCAAACTTGTTTAAAAAACATATACTTTTCACGAGCGAAGCTAAGGTTCATTAAACTTGATAAGTATAAAAATTTATATCTGTCACTAAAATTAAATTCATTGAGGCTCATTACTAAGTCGAAACTCGAGCTCGTTCATCGACATGTAAACTTAATGACTCGAGCTCGACTTAATAAAACTCCGTTCAACTCGTTTACAACTGCAGATGTTAAGACAACTAATTAGAAACATATAGATCTAAAAATACATCAATTTAATAATTTGAAAATTAAATGAAACCAACTTAAATATTCCGTGCTATTACACAAATGTTAGCTCCAAAAATAAGTGTCGGTTATTGCATATGTTTCGTTGATGGAAACAGACACGTCAACGGGACCACCGGTCAAAGATATGATGATAAAACACTAAATAAAAACAACATCTGATGCTTTACAGGTGAGAAAACAAATTAAAAGTTGTAATTTTTTTTTTTATTTTTTTCACAAGATTCACTAAATATTTAATATTTTTCCCCACCACCAAATTACTTTTTTCGTACGTCAAATGTTGCAAGTACTGTAAAACTTTGCAATTCATGCATGGCTTTAATTATTTGGGCTCACATAGTCACATGATCATGTGATATTGTTGCTTCATATAGTTCATAGTTCTTGTTTCAAGATTTAATGAAATTCATTATTAATATAAGTGAAAGATAAACGACACTTAGTAGAGTTCTCGTGTAAGAAAATACTCGACTCATATATTTATTTCAACGAGCTTATGCTGAACATTTTATTAACCTTGTTTTGTTAAACGAGTCGAACTGGTTTGCAGAAAGCTCATTTTATTTTTGAGTTTTAAATAAAAGAACATAATCGACCTTTTTTTGGATGAATATTTTGTTATTGGAAAATTTGCACCATTGATCCACTAACTTTCCCCTAGTTGCACTTTCGTCCTTTAATTGTTTTCGGTTTATAAATGGTACACTAACTCTTTTTTTTTTTTGCAATTTTGGTCCAAAATCACATTCCGGTGACCATTTTGCTGATGTGGCGCCCGGAGCAGCTGATGTGGCGCTTAGTCATCCCGGAAGTCCTTGTCACCTTCTGATGTGTCGCGAGCTGGGCCCAACCATTTTGACGCCTTGCAAAAAAAATATTAAAAAATTAGAAAAAAAAACCAAAAAAAAACATAAAAAGAACACGTAGATCTTTTATTTCATTAAACAAAATAAAAGAAAAAAAAACGATTTGGGGGTAAAAATTGCAGGATCGTTGGCCGAGTACTTGTCCGCCCTCTTCGACACCAGCACGTGGAGCACGCAGATCCCGCCGGGCCTCAGCGTCCGCTCGATCTCCCCGATGAACCTCCTCGGGTACAGCGCGTGGTCGAACACGTTCGAGAATTCAAAGTCGAATGTCCCGTCGGCGAACGGCTGGCGGTGGAAATCACCCTTGAGGACGAGCGGCGAGTAGGGTACTAGGTCGATCCCCACCGAATCGGACACCCCGACCCGCTTCAGTGCAGCGACCTCCTGCCCGACCCGCGCCCCGATGCAGAGCGATTTTGAGGCTTTGGCGAGGAGGGAGCGGCGTTTGAGGCTGTCGAAGAAAGCGGAGAAGACGGCGACCTTGCGGTCCCAGTCGCGGGTGGTCCACATCCGGCGGAACTTCGGGTCGAGCGTCTTGTTGAGCTGGCGTTGGATGTAGGCGTGGTAGGAGCTACCCCAAATCGTTTTTCTTTTTTTTTTTTTCTTTTATTTTGTTTGATGAAATAACATGTGGATTTTTTTTCTAATTTTTTAATATTGTTTTTGCAAGGTGTCAAAATGACTGGGCCCAGCTCGTGAAACATCAGGAGGTGACAAGGATTTCCGGGATGACTAAGCGCCACATCAGCTGCTCCGGGCGCCACATCAGCAAAATGGTCACCGGAATGTGATTTTGAACCAAAATTGCCAAAAAAAAAAGAGTTAGTGTACCATTTATAAATCGGAAACAATTAAAGGACGAAAGTGCAACTAGGGGAAAGTTAGTGGATTAATGGTGCAATTTTTCCTTTTGTTATCGAACAACTTAATTGTCTAGAGGTATGATTTATTAACTTAATTAGTGTAAGCTTAAACGATACTTAGTAGAGTTCTCGTGAAGATAAAACGGGACTCAATTGTTTACTTCAACGAGTTGATGTTGAACATTTGATTGACCTTGTTTTGTTAAACGAGTCGAACTGGTTTGCAAAAAGCTCATTTTATTTTTGAGTTGTAAATAAAAGAACATAATCGACCTTTTTTTTGGATAAACATTTTGTCTTATCGAACAACCTTTGTAGAGATATAGATTTATTAAACTAGATGAGACAAACAGTTAAAATGGAAGTTTTATACACAACAGTAAAATACTATAGCCTCTTCCAATATTACTAATGGTTGAAATCCAACATCCCAAATTAAGCCCAATTTAATTAAATTTCACTATTAATTTGTTTTACCTTCAGTGAATTATATAATCTACTCAATATTAGATTATCAAATATATCCTTACTAAAAAAAAAAAAAAAAAAAAAAAAAAAAAAAAAAAAAACTATTGTGCCATATAACATAAATGCACAACCTGAATATCCCGAATTTGATGGCTCCAGTTTCATAATAGATTATATTCCAGTAGTGCACTACAAAAAAATGATGAAATTCCAACGGAAATATATTTTAAATAATATTCCAACGGCAATTCCAACGGATATTTCAATACTATTATTTCCGTTGAAATTTTTCAGTGGATTCCAACGGAAATTCCAACGAAAATGTTCTGTTGGAATGGGTTTTCCATTGAAATTTTCGTTGGATTTTGACGATTCCAACGGTGGATTATCCAACGGGGGTGGAAAAAAAAATTCCAACGGAATTTGCATATTCCAACGGAAATTCCTACGGTAAAAAGCCGTTGGAATTATAGCCGTTGGAATCATCAAATTTCATCTAAAATTCCAATGAAAAACACATTATTCCGTTGGAATTTCTGTTGGAACTATTCCAACGGAAGCTATTCCATTGGAATATCCGTTGGAATTTCCATTGGAATATATTACCATAGGATTTTCCGTTGGAATATAACATTTATTTTGTAGTGGTGAGAACGTGCGATGCACGAGTTTCGTATTTTAAAATATTTTTTCAAAATTTTATTTTAACAATATATTAACCCATTGACCCGTTTATATTAATATAAATAATATTTTGACATATATTGTGACAACAAATTTTATGAAAAACATAAAATTTCTGTACAACTTGATTATAGTTCGATCAAACGATATGCGGGTACAATCTCTATTTATCTCCTCTGATTCTTCATGAATTTGGGCTTGAGACCTTGAAAGATGGATTTGACGATTGAATCTCCTTCGGTTTGGTCTTAAATTTCTCTAACATTAATTTGGGGGTCGAATGACTTATTTCCGTATTAAATGCTAGGCCTTGACTTGATTGAAGAAAACTTCTTGGAGAACTTGTTTCTTTGATCTTCTGGAAAGAGGGACTTTGACTTGAATAACGTTGACTCGAGGGCTTGATAGCTTTTTTCTCTGATCGAACGCTATGTCGATTGAACTTCTCAATGAATGTGGCTTGAATGTCTCTTCAACGTCGTTGATATTCTTGGATTGATAGCGTGAAAGTCGTCTCTTTACTTCTTGAGAAAGAGCCGCCACCTCTTTTTCTTCTTCTTGGCCTTCTTCTTCATTGAATGGACTTTGGGCGGTTCTTCAAAAACTTCTTCAAATCTCCGAGAGGGTTCTTGAGAGCTCTTGAATTTGAGACTTTAATATTTGAGATGTGTTTGATATTTTTTAGGTGTTTGAGGTGTGGCATTGAGGAGAGTCCTATTTATTGGTGTAGGAGAGAGAGTCTTGGAAAAGAAAACACCATTTTGATTGGTCCTTTTTGATTCGATATAATCTATTTCCTTATCCTAAGATTTGATATAATCTCTTTCCTTATCATAAGATTTGACTTGGTGGGCAAGAAATAATAACTTTTATTAATTAAATATCTTATTTATCATGAATTTATGTCCCAAAATAAATAAAGACATTAATTAATAAAATATTAAAATTTCGATGTCGACAAATGCCCCTTGAGACTTGTTCACGGACAAAATATCTTGGTAGTGAATGAGTCTCAAAATTTTGAATTTGGTTTGGAAATGCAGATAGTTTAAACTCTTATGTAGGAGTTTCGACTTGAATTTGTAGATAGGTTAAACTCGTATCAAGGAGTCTTGATTTGACTTGATTTGTAGAAAGTTTATACTCGTATCAAGCAGTTCTTGATATGTAGACCTTTTATTCTCGTGTCAATGAGATCTTGATATTATTGACGAGCGTTTTCGGTCAACGGTTGAGATTAAAAATATGGAAAGTGCAGGACTAGAAATAAAAGAAAGATATAGTTTAATTACGATTTTATTGAATGATCACGAGGTCGGCCTCCCGTACGAGGTCGACACTTATGATATACTTACAATTCTTTAAAGGGGGGTTTCTTACAACTTAGAGAGAGAAAGTAGAGGAAAGCTTAAGTTAGTTGAGGATTCAACAACCTCAGAATAAATAAGGTGGGCTGCTATTTATAGTACTCTTAAATGGGGTACTGTTCACCGGTCTTGTCGTACAGTAGATTTGCAGAGCAGTTGGCGCCTTCCTGACAGTTCATTAATGCGATTTGAGGTTTCCCCAATCATTGCTTGCTAGGCATTAAATGCAAGCATGGGTAGCATTTAATGCTGATTGAATGACTGTGACGGGTCGTCCCATCAGCGAATGATGACCTCCCAAGTGGCGAATATTTTAGTAGTGACCGAATCGGCGCTATCCTTGGGCAGGGCGGCTCTAGGTTACCCAGATCGGCTCCTTCGCTATAAAGGTCCGCGCGACCCGGGTGAGCCTTTCTTCAGTTCGGCACTTAGACGAGACCGGCTCGGCTCCCAACATGTCCGGGTGCCAGGCTCGGGAAATATTCCCTTCGACCCATACGGCATATAATCCTTCGACTCAGGTCGGCTTCTGTGCTCCTGATCGGCCCGGCACTTTCCAGGAGTTCGGTCTCATGCAGCTCATGGGGCCGACCCGTTTCATCCTGACCCGACCGATCCGGATGTCAACATACAGGCCCCCAAGCTTGGAGGTAAGGTCTACGACATCCCCTCTGAGGTCGTCACTTTGGGCAGCCCAGATCGGCTCTTCCGCTACACTTAGCGCGGGTAAGGTTGATCTTATGGCCGACATTGATGACGTCAGTTGAAGGGACGTGTATTTAATGCGACCTAACGGTTGCTTTCCTGTCGGTTACGAAAGGTCGTGCAGCTTTTATCGTGGCGGACACGTGTCGTTGCCCCATTAAATTCCCAGAAGATCGTGTGCGTCAGTTGGCGGCGGTTTCGCCTTTTCAAAATTTCAAATTTTGAATTCCTTACACGTGGCGGGATCTGATTGGGGCCGAATCTTTATAAATAGGGCCCCTCGGTCACTATTTCTCCTTCTTCTTATCTTCACAAAATTCGATTTCCTTTGGCTTCTCGAGGAAGAGACTCTCAAGCAGTTTTCTGGTCGGAATTTTTGTTTCTTTACGGTAATTTCTTCAATTTTTGACCCAGCTCTTACTTTCTTTTTCGACTATGTCTTCGCTCTCCAAACCCGGATCTGGTGCCGGCGCGTCCGGGGAGGATTCCGGTTCTTCCGGTGACTCGCCTCCGCCCGCGACGAGCAAGCTTACGCTCTATTCTCCGATGTCGGCCGAGAGGGCTCTGGCCGAGGCGGTGCCGATCTCTATGGTCCGTCCGAGTTCTCCTCCAGGCGATCCGACCCCAGGCGAGAGTCCCGACGTCGGGCCGGATATGAATCGGACCGCAGGAGCGGACGACGAGGCGGACGTGAATGTCGACTTCCTTAAATCCGACTCGGACGTCAATCAAGATTTAGTTGACGAAACCCTCCGCGGCGACACGGGGGGTCGAGAGAGGGTACCGATGGGCCGTGGTGACGATGCCACCGATGCCGAGATCGAGGCAGCTACTTCCGTCCCTCCAGGCTTTTGGCGCCGCCCTCCACGAGTTTGGGGGACCCACAGTGATTCTATGGCCTGGTTCATGGCCTCGGCAATAGACGATGCTGATTTGGTCCAGTTACGAAGCAAGTACAATTTTGGCCCGGGAGTTCACCTATTTGCACCCTACCCCGGGGAGAAGATGTTGGTGTTATATACTTAAGCTTTACTTTAGTGGATATTACACTTGTTATTCCTTGATGAATGAGAATTATGTTTGGTTAAATAAGTTCCACGTTCTGTTGTTTTGCA